GAAGTTGCGGTTTCGCATTCCCCAAATACTCCATAGAATGAGTAGACCATTCCAAAAATCCTCTTCTGCGCGCGGCCATTTTTGTCTACTGGGCCCTGGTACGCGTTCTGAGCATGCGCGGTACCTCTTCGAGATAAGAAGGCCAAAGTGCAGAATTTTCTTGCTTCGCCGAAAGAGGGCCCCGAACGCCACCGCTTGGGCACGAATGCTGTGACAGCGTTCGGTTGGGGTCTCGCGTTCTCGCTGATTGGGCACCAGTTCGAGCCGAACACTGACGCAACGCTCGTGGCCAATTGGCGCCCTGCTGTGGCCTTCTTCGGTGAAGCAGGAAACTTCATACGGGTTCCCTATAAAGGAGGTGCGGCGGTGAACCCTGAACTGCAGCGGCACCAATTCGGGACTTCTTTCCATGAAACCGTTCTATTCGTAAAAAAATAAAGAATAAAGTGTTTATTTTGATAGTTATTACGTCGTTTCTATGCGACGGTGAGAAGTATTCATCTTTACCGCAGGACAGCTGGAGCTGGAGAAGGGGAGTCGACCGTGGCCTTCACCACCTTTTTGGGGGAGACCAGCTGTGGCCTTCACCATCCGTTAAAGGGAATGTGCGACGTCTGGATTGTAGAGTGACTTTGTGATCCACCGTAGAAGCGATCACGTCAGTGCAAACTGCACCGGCCTCTTGCCGAATGTCCACGATATTGTCTGCACCCTTCGCACTTTTATACTGGGTTCGCAGGTCTGGAATGACGGATCACGTGTATTCGAAACGTGCCACGTAACTTGTTCAAACCTGCCTTCGAAGAGGCTGCTATAAAGAAGAATGATAATTATGGGGAGCTCTAGACGAGCAGCCCGGAGTCTACGTGCAAAACATCGACTTATATTTAGAGATCGTTTTCTTTTCATATAGACCTGCCATATATCTCAGGTGGCCGCAGGTCGCAGGAACACTATTATTTATAGTACGAAACTGTTATTTTGAATCCTTTTATACACACAAAGAAGAGAGCTTGTGTTCAAGTACTTTGAATGCAGCTGGCCGTCATTCCTGTTCTGTAATCTCCAGACGGATCCAAAGCACTGATTTTAGCACAAAAGAGCCGTGAATTCTCAGGAATCTGCCATATCTCGCGAAGTGTCTCAGCCCTAGGCGAGCACATTATCTCTGAGCCGATTGCATCAAAAGATGATCGAACGACCGCTCGTGCATGTGTGTTTATTATGTCTGTGATGATGTCATACTCAAAGAGCGATGCGTTAGGTGTGATTACCTCAACGTTTTCAACCTGCACTACCAGTGGTATCTGCAAGTATATATACAATAGTAATGCCTGTGGTTGTTGAGGGAGACGCAAGAACAAAGTATGAATCAGCACATCATGTGCTAAAAGGGTGGAAGGGGGGCGGGGTCAACATTGGTTAGTTGTGAGAGTATTTCTGGTACGAATGTTTCCAGGTCCGTCTCATCTCACTTCAGTTTTCATGTCACTGAGTTTGAAGATGGGATTGTCAGTGTATAAGACTGAGTTTTCGTCTGTGTCAAGTTGTTACTAATTAATAGTGATGTTGTGATCTTGAAAATGTATTTTATGTTCATTCTGACAGCGTGAGAGAGGGAGAGAGAGAGTTCGTGCGTGTGTGTGTGGATGTCTCTGCGTGGATGCGCGGGAATATCTGCCTTTTACATATCACTACAAACGTATGCACTATGCTGGGCGCATCTCAACATGCGATCAAGTTTCATATTAGTTTTCTCAGCACAGCACACTGGCACAACGCTCTTATATCGAACTGAAATCCTGATGACAGTGTGAGCTATGCAACTTTAGAGTTGACAACGTTTGATGTGTCCTTGTCGGTGATGCAAACTCCGTCCATAGATCTAATGCTAAGAGCCTGAAAAAAAAAAAAAAAAAAAAAAAAAAAAAAGCCGGCGTGGCGCGTGGATCAACTCACAAGGTTGTGGTGACTATCTGCACATTTATATGATACATGTGTTGCTACACTGGAAAAATCGCAACAACCAATTCACTTTAGGCATGGTATAAAATCGCACAGGTAGTTTTATACGCCTCCCTTCGTTCTCAAAGGATGAAAGCTCGTGATAATCCCGGGGATGGTTCATTGTTGCTTGCGTTTGTCGAAATAAAAATTTATGTTGATTCCGAGAGTCCGTCTCATACTTCCCTAGCAGCGCACTTAGCTCCGTGAATGTACTTAGGGTGTCCTAAAGGTCTGGGGATGTCTGTGGACGTTCATAAGACATCCCCAGGAACTTAGGGCATCCCAAGGAGAATCCCAAGGATATCCCAAGGAGAATCACAAAACGAATTGTGCTACTATGGTAATTATTTTGACGGCAGTGGCGTTGCCAGGGAAGGGGCTTATAACCTGAGCGCCCTGAACGCAGTAACTTAATGAAACGTTTCTCGAATTTCGGCTTATTTTAAAAGTTATAAGGCAGATTAAAATTACAAAAACAAGCAAAAAATAGCCTCCTTCATGAGTGGCCAGTATGAGAGTATGAGTGGCCGTGAATTAGGAGGAGGGGTAGTGAGCTCAGAGAACGGTCACGGCTGCCGCACTCCGTGTCGACGGCTCGAGAGAGCACAACTAAAGCATGTTGTGGCTAGGCTGTATGACGCGGGCAGCCAGGGCGGCTCGCATTGCATTTGATGCGCGATTAAACAATAATTCGGCATGACACTTCATTGGCCACAAACGGCAGCAAACACAGGGTAAAGATCAGTTCAGAACGGGAGCCGCTTCGCGCTGCCATACCGCCAAAAGATCAAACTGCAAGCCAAAGCTGCTCGCCGAAGGCCTTGGGGACGCTCGGAACCGGTCGGATCCTTCAGTCCATATGACCGCTGCGCCTCCGCGTACATCCGGGACCTTTCTACGCCGACCGCTAGCTGGTTCCTGATCCCACTACACCTTCCTAGTATGCGCCGCCTTTTCCACCGCTTGGGGGCGGGTATGTCGATGGGTCATTTCTTGTTTCCATACTTTCTAAACTGCATTTGTTTCTTTTCTGATCTAAAATAGTGAACAAAAACTACTTTTATAAATAACTGAAACGGTTCGCGCCACTTATATTTTGTATTTCGACTAAAAAGAAGCTTTTAGCGGCTCTGACCAGTAGTAAGCCCAGGACCAAAGACGTAACATATCGCGCGCTTTCGGCACCGCGGATCGCCCCCGTAGGTGTAGGAGGTTTCCGCGTCGACCGGTTAAAATATGAGTATGACGCACTGATATTTAGTTACTCTCTCCGTGCCCGCTGACTTGCCCGAACCCTAAGAGACGTGGAAACCGCAAAAAATGTAGACGCTTAAATATGATTGCAGCCGTAAAATACCGCGAGTGTCTTCTATCATTCTGCAATTTGTTAATGTAGTGTTTGTCGATGATGCTCAGCAAGATTCTAATTGAAACCATGCCCTTAAACTCAATATTTAATAAATTAATTACTCGAAAATAATGAACAGCTTAATTATCTCGAAGTTTAATCATTTTCCTAAATATGCCCCTGGCCTAGGACCAAAACGACACAAGCCTTTTTTTTTTTTTTTTTTTTGGTGCGATTCGTAGTTCTGATCATATCGAATTTGTCCACTTTTCGTGAAATAAGTGAACATGGACAAGATCAGCCGTAAACATCGCTTGTCAGAAATTGAGTCCGCCGAATCCAGTAACCCGGATAGGCGAAGGTTGCGGGTTCGATCCCCACCCCTGGCCCAATTTTTTGCCAGCTCTCTTTCCCTTTCCTTAACTTTAGTGTAAGAAATTCAATAATCACTTTCTCTCCTCTTCGTTCAGAATATATATATATATATATATATATATATACTCGAAAATGCACCTATCCAAATATCTTAACTCTTCAGTAAAGGTGCAACTTAGTCACGCTCCGCGAGGAGTCAGACTTTTTTTTTTTTACTACGGTTCTTGAGATGAAAACGAGTATATATTATAGTTATACTGACTACGCAATGCAAAAGCTGCAACAACCCCCAAAATAGGTTGGTGTCATGCACTGGTGACGCGGGATTAGTGGTGCAAAACTATGGATAGTACTGTCGATAGTCGTCTATCGAAAAAGAATCGATAGTACTATCCACAGGTTCTATCGGTAGCAAGGAGGATATAAGGGTAGGAGAGGGCATGACGTCGGCCGCGTAGCCTCCACAAGCCTTCTCCCTTGACGCCTCGCCTCTTTCTCATTTTTCTCCTTACCCTCCTCACTTATCAGGCCCACGTCACGTGACCGTAGCTAGCCTTCGTCTAGCTATGGTGTACTAGAATACACCACAGCCTAACCTTGGATCTGATAAAACCTACCGGACGGAGCGCGCGCGAGTCTGCAAGGAATCTTCCTACAATCAATCAACCATCCATCTTGCACGTGATATGTCACGCGCACCAATCGCCAGAGAGATCTGCGGTCACGCTGGACACAAAATGGTTTAAACTTTTTATGACTAGGCTTCACCAATATTGCGACGTGCCCTTCCTAGTACTTTTGACCTCCTTGATCGGTAGTCGACCAAGTCGACTATCGAAAAACTCTCGATAGTACTATCGATAGTTCTCTGACACTATCGATAGTCAATTTATCGATAGTTTTGTGTCACTACGCGGGATACGACAGGGAATGAACGAGAACGCGTGCAAATGATCTGCGAAGTCAAGCTGGTCAAGCCATCAAACCCGTGATTACCGTGATCGTGCCAGCACTACACCGTGGCCAGCACCAAGCAGCAGATGCGCAACGACAACATGGTGTGAATCCAGGGCTGCTGCGTAAATTCTCCAAAACTAGTGACAACCGAAAGACCCAGTCCCTCGCGCCATTTTGCACTTCGCCGTTAGCCTACGAGGTGGCAGCACTTACCCTTCTCAGCAGTAGGGAGGCTCAGCAGCTATCACGTTTATCACGTGGTAACGTTTCGCACGTGTTTGTCTTTGACAGTTGTGGTATTGTGTTTCAAATGCGTGAACGTGATCAAATGTCAGTGTCTACTTTAGCTTCTTGTTACCCGCTGTGACAACATTGACACGCACACAGGTAAACATCTTTCACCTTCGCTCATTGATCTGGGGCCACCTTTGTCGCCTCAGATCGAAGCGTGATCGTTCTTAGCCCTTTTCTAACTTTTTTTATTTTTTTCGGGGCGTGCAATTTTGGCGCGGTTTCGTTGCCGCTTTGCGGTGTTCGCGTTTCTGGTGTTGGCGGCGATCGTAACGTTAGTTCACGATACCACTTGAGAATGTTTACGCTCTCGTCTATGCTCCACTTAGGCAGGTGGGCTCGTGTGATCCTCGCGATCGATTACTAACACGATGTCAGTAACAAGTTACGGAAATGTGATATACAGCTCCGCCGTGCTGATGTGGAAGCGAAAATTTGTCCCTGCGGCAGTGCCCACATTAAGATTCGAAAAGCCTATTTCCCAGTGCTTCTAGATTCACTGATGCAGTTACGTCAAACTTGTTGTTTGTAAACAAAGAAGCTTGTTGCCCATGCGAGCTGTGATTATTGCGCACGCGTAAGAAAGAGCCCGTTGTTCGAAGAGGGAAGAGTCTGCGGCGTCTGCGCATGCCCCGTGGCACAGCCAGCGCCACCGCGTTCTTGGTGTGACGTCAAAGACATGAGTAGGTCTTGATTTAGATCGAACACAAACAAGTGAATAGGTTGCATTAATGTGCATTACATATCTATGTGGTTCTCGAGCTCTTAAACGTTCTCTCTACCATGTTAATACATTGTAGAGGTAATAGACAGGTTTAGTATAGCATTGCTGGGCCTTAGGTACGCAAGATGCAATAGTATAGCAAACGCTACAGAGGACCTGCTCGGACCGATTTTAGGCGTCTGTTACATTGCCGAGTGAACATCTCGCATGATTTTTTTTATTCCTTTCGCCAGAGTTGTTGAATTCCGCATACTTATAGTGCCATCATGCTCCTCAAAAATTAATGTGGAAAATGAGAACAATTTCAATAATTTTATTTTGAATTACACCATGCCACAGCTGCCTGGTCAAGCGCGCTTTTCTGCGGGGTACAGAGGCTTTGAGTACAAGTATGTAGTTAAATTCTATCACATAGCCTCCGTCAATCGTCCCGTGAATCCAGCACCTTTTCTCAATGCCATCGCGGGAAGAAATCCATGGCTTTGCTGATGTCCAGTGCATAGCAACAACTTGGGTGATTTCTTGAAGAGCTGTTCGTCCGTCGGCGATGAACTGCGCAAAGAGGCTTAGCATTGAGCAGATTGCTGCATTCACACACATTGTGAGCGGTGAACATTTTCACTATACACTCCTTCGGCGATTGCTCGGCAATCTGATTCGACCACGGTAGGTCCCGGTAAGTAATGCCGATCTGAACACCACGCAATTTCACATAACACTGAGCTCGCAAATACCACGTCGCCCTTGCTGCGCTAGTCGAGGTAACCGCCATCTTGAAACTAGTGCTCTTACTGGGCCCGAGATCTCTTGAGAGCTTCCTGCAAAGCCTGCTAGCCTGCAATGCAAAATCCCCAGCATTGCATGCATACGCAATACACTAGCCCTTCTGTTGCATACGCTCCACTAAAACTGTAATAGTTATAATCAACTATTAGGTAGAAATAACCACCAGCACTGCAGAAAGACTGCTCACGCTAGCTGTTTATAAGGTATGCTCTGGATATGCCTTGCACTTCGTTCCCCTGGTCCCACCGTTCCTGCGGTTGTTGAGTATGTTCAGGGTGTCTAGCGACCGAAAAAACCTGGAATTGTCAGGGTAATTTTAATTACTGGGAAAAATCAGGGTATTGTGAGGCATATTGTCCAAAAGCGAGCCCAGTCGGGGAAAATAAGCCGTAAACGCCATAGATTTTTCTGAGCAAAGACTTGAGGGCTTGGGGGCAGAAAAATTGGCAATAAATTCTGCTTAGAGCGAAGCGCAAGCTCTGCTCACCCAATGTACAGTGTGCTACCCGATGCAAAGAAAACAACTGACAAATCCAGTCCAAGCCTTAGATTAGATGGGATTGGATTGAGAGCGCGACACTAGGCTAGATCCAGTTAGAGCTACTAGATTTAGTAACAAATGGGAAAGCCGCAGACCCCAAGCCTTAAGCCGAAAGTATCCGAAAGTGTATCTGGCGGCCATGTTGCGACTTGGTTATTAACGTGTGTGGTTGAGTGTCGTGTTTTCATCATGTTTCCAGAAGTTGCCTCTTCACTGGCGATGTCGACGGCAAGAAAGTGCTCGTTTATTCAGGACTGGACGAACCCGAATATTTCAGAATATGCAAGTTATATTAGGCCCGTGCAAAATGATCCTTACTGTGCTCGATGCTCAATGCCTTGTGTTGTAATGATCTTATATATTTAACCACCTCTAAAGTAGTTAGGGAAAACCTGGAAAAGTCAGGGCATTTTAAAAGAATAATTTGCTAGACACCTGATGTTGTGTTGAAGGGTGTTGAATTAGTAGGAAAAAAAAATATGCTGTTATCTGCAGAAGCAACAATCCAAGTCCATCAAGCGCAGTTGATGCAAAGCATGTCACACAAAAACCACTCCTCTCTTCAGTGGTTGATAATGCTGACTATATAGTCAAATAATATTTGGTGTTCGCTCAAAACCAGATGGTGCTGTTACGGCCTTTCAAAATAAACTTGGGGGTCCAAGTGTTTTTTGGAAGGGTCATTAATAAGGTTGGGAGGTCTTGTTCACAATTTTATTAAGCAAGCTTTTTATATTGTATATGCTAAATTCTTTATTACTATGTAGCACAGTTGGGGTGCTACTGCATCCATCAGTGTGACCAATCTCATTGAAGAACTGCATTGGCAATGGAGCTGAAGCCCCATAAGCCTCTCCCCTGACTATGCCACTGCCATCAGAATAGTTACCCTGGTAGCTCACTTAGTTCTGTGAATATCCTTAGGATGTCTTATGAATGTCCATGGACATCCCCAGACTTTTAAATCTAACTATGCGGCATTTAAATTTTCGGTGTATGACAAAATCACATTTTGGCTTCAACTTCACTGGGAAAAAGAATCCAACTCTTCTGGCAGTGCTTATCCAGATTGCCTTGCTACAATCCTGAAGTGACAAATTTTGTTGTGAAACTGCAGACCAAATTTGCAAACCTCATGTCTCATATTCTTCGCTGTGCTACTGTATAAAACATCTGAGTGAATGGTGTTTCACAAGTTACATTGATGACAGACTTCTGTTGGGGTGACATTGAAGCTCAGAGATGATGCCGTTGTTATGTGGACTCTGGCATAGCAGCCGGCCAAACTAACGTAGAATACCGCGCTTCCGCCCATTCCACACTAAGTGCTCATTCCCAAATTTGTATTGAGAAAATATGCACAGTACATTGATACATAAAATTGATGACCGGACAAGTGCCCCTCCCCATTTTTTTGCGATTATTTCTAAATTTTGAGTGGGCACTTGCCTGGTATTTTACGGTAGAGGTACTAAGTTGCTTTGCAAACCTCATGTTGTGTCATAGGCTTCATTTCATGGATGTCAACAGGGGCAAACTTACTAATAGGCAGAGTAGGCATCTGCCTATGGCAGCCAATTTGTGGCCGCTCCCAAATTAATTGGCTTTTTTTTTTATTCCAGCTCAGAATTTAATATTTTGTGAATTCTAGCTCCAAATCTAGCTCTTTCTGAAAATTTTAACTCGAAACATAGCTACTCCCCCCCCCCCCCCCCCCCTTCCCCCCCATCTCCCCATGGTCACTGACCATGGGGAGATGGGATTGGAGGAGGAGGGGGGGGGGGGGTTGTTAAAGGCTGCCTAGGGTGGCAAGATGCAAAAATCCGCCTCTGGATGTCAAGCCTCAGGAGTAGGCTTGTGTTTTCTACCAATAAAAAGACTTTCAACTGTCTATAAAATCACCTCTAAATTTAGTTGAACCAGATTGTTGGCTCGAATTTCTGCCTGAAGCCATCACAGTTGTGGGTAATGTCAGGTGAACTTTGAGCATTTTGTGGTGCAAGGTTAATTTATGCACTGTCAAAATGCCCCTTAACGGTTCCTAGTGGATCCGGTATCATAGTGAAAGGAACTCCTTATGCAGGCACGGGTCAATCCCTTTTGAGCTTTGACGGTACTGGTTTAAATGGCAATTTAGCCAGTGTACAACTGCTAACCTGGAGTCTTCCACAATGTCTGTTATGTAGTGGCGATGACATGACCACATCTTGGTGCATTATATGTCCATACCAAAACCAGGAGGTGTGGGGATTGAAACAAGAATCCCTGACTTCTGTGAGAAAGCAAGTACTGCCAAAGCTAGTGCATGAGTGGAGTTGTAGGTGAAGTCAGGTCACAAGTGCTTGTGTTCTGCAGGCTGGGCAGGTTTGCTTTTACACAGTCTTAGCTAAGGTGATGTTTGTGGGCCCAGGAGACATAAGACTGAGCTTGAGCCATACATCAGTCTCGTTGATGTATAGCTGGTAACTCACATCAGAGAACAGTGTATTCAGAGTGGAGCAAGTCGAAGCGACCACAAGGAAACTATATGTGAGGTCACAGTTGGGGTAGGGCAGTGACACCTTCAACTTCTATTAACTTTTAGAATTACCACTCGTTTGTCTCGCCGTGTGGAACTATGATCTTCCTTGTCTGAATTGAGCACCTGAAGGTAATAGAAGGAGGCAAAGAACTAAGCTTAGGGACAGCTTCGTTCTTTAGTGTCCTCAAGTACACAATGGCAGCTTTTAGCTGAAACTTGGAACTTCGAAGACAATCTGAAAAGGCTCATTTTTTTTCTTGTGGAAACCTGTGAGGGTGTGAAGAGGAATCTGGCTAATGGCGAATTCCACTCTTTTCTTTTTTTACACTGTAAATCAATAAGAATGCTGGAACAGATTAGGCAGTTGTCTCATCTGTTCCAGAACATTGCTTGTATCATTTTTTAGATCACATTTATTAGATGTAATCCCTCCATCACATCACCTTCCCTTCTCTTGGCCTTGCTATTAGAATATAGACAGGCCACATTCTTAACTCTAATAAATTTCAGACAGAAGGAAGAGTATCAAGGTCTGAGCTCAGAATAGGATAGAATGTCTTAATGTCCTGTTAATATGGCTGTTCATTATGCCAAGCTATGTCACTGTGTTCAGCATTATTGCATCTGTAAACCAGATGTAACAACTTCATTCTCAACTACGCATGTGTGTGCTACACAAACTGAGCATATGTCTCGTTTAGCTGTTGACACAATATAAGAATGACTATTTATTTGTTAAGAAATTGTCTCATGCGTCCTTCGTGATAATATTGTGAACATGCCGTGACGGGTATGGCACAAACTACCTATACAGAATGCCTTGACTTTAATATCTGTCTTAAAATCCGAGATGTCCAGTTAAACTTTCTTTTATAATCCAAGTCTCTGTGACTGCAGTGATTTATTGTCCACCGGTGCAAAATGTCTTGGAAAATAGCAGGATGTAGCAGCAGTGAAGTTCGTGGAACAATGCGAGTTCTGTATAATAGTTAATATGACCATCAAGGCTCACTTGCAGTGGTATGCACAACGCATGAACCAGTGACTGCACACATGTGAAAAAGACACATCTTAAAAGATTGACTGGTCTTTTTTTTATTTTAGAAAAAACATGACACAGCAGTTTGTCCTTGGGCTGCATAAACATTGTGACCAAGCTTGTGTCTTTCCCTCTTGCATTTGTTCCCCCTCGCCACAAGAATCAACAGACACCAAAGAAGATCAACTAAAGAGTGAAACAATATGTTACGCACACAGCGTGCATTTATGAAGCCCTTATCCCACCTCCCACCCACCCTCTCCAGGCCGAGACTGCTCAAGTGGAGCTGCGAAGGCCTTGACAACCTTCATGATGACACACTAGTCAAAGCTGCTGATGATGGCTGACATTGTAAGAAATCTGACCTGCCTTAGACATCAGGCTCTGCGAGATGTATACCCGGATGATGGCGTCATCATTCCTAAGAGGAAAAAAAAAAAAACAAAAAAAAAACGATGTAGCTCTTTCTCTCAGAGAACCCTTCGGGTCTTGTAGAAGTCTCCCACCTTCTTGGGGTACTTGCTCTTCGTCTTGGTGCTCTCAAAGGAGTCGGCCCTGCTCTGTTCTCTGGCCTCTTCCTGGGGCCTGTACTTCTCCAGCTCGAGGAACTGGTTGTAGCCGCTCACGTAGTACTTGGGAGCATCCTCGCAAGACACTTGGTCCTCGTTCTTGCATACGAGCGACCTCTGGTCGAAAACGGTTCCGTTCGTGCAGAGGAAACGCATGTCCGTTTGCGCACAGATGTGGAACATGCGGCACCCGGTCTCGACGTCAGCGTAGTAACCGCCAACGGTCTTTCCTTGGCACGTAAAGGAAGTTAGGGGCAGTTCGACGGGGACTTCCTCAACGACAAACTCTTCTGGTTCTTGAGCCTCTTCCGTGGAGCTTTCTTGCTTTGCCTGAACGTCCCTGATGACCCTCTTGTTCGATTTAGCGGTTGCCCAGGGCTTCTTGTTCGCCAAGTAGGCCTTGGTCTTGTCGGTCTTGGCGAAGTGGACGTTTCGGAGGCACGAGAAGGTGTCCCTCTCGTCACACGTTCCGGTCTCCTGGTTGAAGGCAGTGCCTTCCTCGCAGAGCAGGCCGTAGTCAAGCAGCTTGCCCTTGCCGATCGGTACGCAGATGTGGAACAGCTGACAGTCCGTCTCTTGGTCGGCGTACACGCCACCGGCGAGCTTGTCTTGGCAGGTGAAGCTCGTCTGGGGAAGTCCGTCCTGTCTTCCAGGTGGAAGCACCACCTTCACTGGAATGGCCCTCCTTGTCCTGGTCGACTTGGGCTGCTCCTCCTCGTAGTCGTAGTACTCGTACTCGGACGTGACCGGCGCTACCGTGGTCGTAGTCGGGACGCCCGGTCGTCGGAGTTGGGGTCGCTGGGGCAGGCGGAAAGTACCAGGAGCGTTTGGTGTCGCGGCTGGCGCTGGCTGAGCCCCAGTGGCGGCGAGAGCGTTGAGTGGGAGCGGTGGGGGTCCGACGGGTGGGGTTCCGCCTCCGGACACTGGGTTGGCGGGCACCGCGGCTGGAAGGACGGCTGGAAGCACTGCTGGTTGCGGTGGTGCCGCAGAGAAGGCGTTGACGGGCTGGAGGGCTACGGGTGGGGTGGTCGGCTGGGCGGCTGGCGGGGTGAACGCTTGCGGTCCTCGGGCGATGGGGCTCCTGAATGCAGGTGGCCTGAAGGCGGGGGCCGGTGGCCGCTGGGTGGTCGTAGTCGTCGATGTGGTCGTCGTGGCGGGAATCCTGGAAGGCGCTTGCGGCCTGGCTCCTCTAGACGAGGACTGGAAGCGCCTGGAGTTGGAGGTCTGCTGCGTGCGTCTCCTGGGGGTCGGCGATGGAGCCGGAGGTGCCGTGGTCGTGTCGTACTCATCGTAGTCGGTCTCTACGGGTCGGACGGGACGTCGCCGCTTCTCGGGACGCTCATGGGCGGGCGTGATGGCGTTGAAGACGGGCGCGTCCACTCGGAAGCTGTCGTAGTAGTCCTTGTCGGTGTCAATGGTGCCCATGACGTTTTCGTAGAAGCGCTCGGCGAGGGCGCAGTAGACGCGGTCGCTGGGCGTGCACACTCGGGAGGACTGACTGAAGATGGTGCCGTTGGGGCAGGCGAAAGACATCTTGGACAGCTTGCCGTAGTGTCCTGGCACGCAGATGTGGTAGACCTGGCAGCCGGTTTCGGGGTCGGCGTAGTACTCGCCGGCCGACTTGTCCAGGCAGCTGAAGGACGTTTTGGGGATCTGGTGCACGTTGATGGTCTGTCTCCGGATCCGGGAGGCGCGCTGCGTGAAGGCAAATTTGGGACGTGTTCATTATCTTACGGTTCACAGCGGCACGTACGCGGTTATATATATATGTAAATGATGTCTTTCGTTTTGTTGTGCAATACTTCGTGGTTGTAACTCTGTGTGACGCTTTAGTTTCGCTCACGTGAAAGGTCACGGAAGCACCGCCTGCACCAGTGAGCTGCCATTGATACGCTTTGCAAACACATTGTTAGGGTTATATCAATTCTTGCACACACGAAAACACGTGGTAAGCTCTACTCCGTCTCACCTTTTGATCGACTGCAGAGGTTGCTACGAGCCATCGAAGCCAATACAATGTGCGAGTTTCACGGGCGAAGTACCACGTGATACTTTCACAGTGCTGGCTGGACTGAGGATGGCTTTCTAGCGCTCTCCACGGTCTATCGTACGACGTGCCATTAAGTATGTCAGACGGACTGACTTGAGGCTTGAAATTTCAACACGACAAATGCATTCCTGGTTAGAAATCATAGTGCCATAGTTTGTAGCCCAAATTTGTTTTCAAAAGTGTGAAATATAACTTTCTTTTTCCTACAAAATCTACGCCGAAATTTTCCTATTTTTTGGATGGGACAACACGTTTTCCAAGCCACGCAATAGGGAACTCGGCATGACATAACTCAGTAAAGTATCCGTCGGGTGGCGGCCTGCGAACGCCTCCTCGATGTGTTTATACGTTTGTCTCGCAACTCTTCAAATGCGCCAGTACACGAGGCCCGTGAATCGAACGACCCTTGGAAGCAAAGGGCGGCGCAGCACAGAAATTACCGGCCCTTGGGAGCGAATGGCGGCGGAGCGCCCGCTCGATGCTTGTGTCTTGCGCGTTTCTACAACAATGGTTGGCGGTACTTGGAAGCGTGAATTTTATCCAGTGACTCTTCCCGGAAGTGATGTATTTAACCGGTCGCCGAAGGTCGGATACATCATTCCCATATCCGTTAAGACCACCTAATGAATCCGAACAGCTGTACACGCTTTGGGGCACGAAGCGCGCGCACAATGTTCGACGGGGGACTGCGTTTACGAAACTACGCCTCCGGCAGCAGCGCTCAACCTGGCGGAGTGGATCATGGCCGGCCGCGCAGGTGGCCGCCGCAGTTTCGGAGCACATTCTGCTAAGGGTTTCGGATTTTCGAAACGTCCTTGTAAGGGCGTTGTGCTTGGTCTGCGACCACTTGCCGTCGACTTGGTTTGCCCCTCGAGCGACTCACCGTCGTCGTCGATTACCTGCTTTGTATGTCCTTGCGCGGACGGGCGATTTCCTGTTGTACTCGGCTCGGCTCCATTGTTATCGCGATTGAGCGGCGACAGTGATTTCGGTAGGTTTGATGGAAATAGAAGGGAGGGGCCTCGGAATGTTACGCATGGCACACCGTGGCGAGAGTGCAGCCGGTCGAAATCTGTTTTCGTATTGTTCCGGTTAATGGGAGTGAGAGGCGCGTGGGTTGAGGAACCTGGCATCTTTAATCCGTTTTATCCAAATATCAGTCGCAGAGGAGCCATCTCAGCCGGTCGAGCATCTTGTGCAAGAAGCGGTTGTCTACACTTGCCTGGCTCTTTCCCCAACTCTTCCTGCTTGTTATCTTGTAGCTATATGTACTGTCAAGACAGGGATACTTATCTTGGTCAAACGCTCTCAGTCGAATTCGTGCAAACCTCTGTTACCTGTCAAATCGAATAAAGGAACCCATACCTTATGTGCTTGACACACGATAGCAACAGCCCCAGGACGCCTTAATTCACGTACATCAAACGCGCGGCCCGCAGGCAACCGGCTACGAGTCCCGGTTCCCATGTCTCGAGCGCTAGACATGCATGCGCCATTTTGACCTCATCTCGTTGATTCCTTTTCGCTCGAAAGGTAGCTCTTCTCTTGTAACGTATTCATATAGTTTATACTGATCTGTGTTCATTTGCCCTTTGTTTCGCTTTATTTTTTTGCTTCTTAGGCTTTTGTAACGTATAACAATTCCGCGACAAGGCTGCAAGCGCGAGCTATTCATTGAAAGGTGCATCTCAGCTGCGGAAACTCTCAATCAGCAGGTGCAACCGCCAAAGATAAAGCTGCTCAAAAATGCCGCCTTAAAAAAAAAAAAAAAGTTGTCAGAAAACCAAGAACTGTTAAATTGATCGGTTGTTTTTGGGGACATATTGAGCTTGGTTAATTCCTGAGTGAATTGAGCGACGGGAAAGACAGTCTACTTGCTCTCTTGTTCTATTAAAAATGCCAGAACGATGGCGGAGCGATGTCATTTTAATTCTTGTTATCAAATCAGGTTAAGGGCCCAAAGTAGTCATATCAACAAATCAAATCTAAAGATGTCATTGGAAAAATTGCGTATTTACAAAAAGCATAGAGGCACGAGGTCTCTTTTCTTTAAAGGCCGACGACCAGACTCGAGATTCTGCAAGGCAGAAGAACCTCGTCTCCATGGAAGAGGAGGAAGAAGAGAGGGAAAAGTGGAAAGCGCGAACTGGTCGTCGGTCTTTGAAGTCTTTTCTGCACCGTCCCCCGTGTCTCACGTTGGCCCTCGACCTTTCCGGTGTGGGATATCTGGCCCCCACACTCAGATGAGTTCGACCACTGACGTACACGGTCCGCTTTGACACTTGAAGAAGAAGAAAATAGATGGTGCTATGGAGAATTTGGCAGCCTTGAGATGGCGCCGGCTACTCCACTTGAATTATGTGATCGGGTACTTTCGGTAACTGATTACGCCGTTGGGTTACTTTTCTGCTTACTTTCTGGTAACCCGTGTTTTTTTTTGTAAAAACGGGGGGCCATGACGACCTTCCGCTCACTTGAGTGGGAAGGTGTACGCAGTGGGACGAGAGAAATATAGGGAAAAAGAAGACAATGCAGCGCTCGTCCTGTCTTTTCCTTCTACCGGCCCTTGTCCTTTAGCGCCGCGTTTATTTCGATAAAAGTATAATTTGTTTTTAGGTTTCTTACCTCCTCGTCGACTTGGTTACCCAGCACGGTGACCAGTAGGGAGGCCACGACCAGGAGCCCTGCAATGACAACTTCGGCTCAATCGTTTGTTCACGAGTCATGGCTCTTGACGAGACCACTTCTCCTTCAAAGAAAAAAAAAAAAGTGTCGAACACAGGTTGGTGAGGCCCGTTGGATGGACTAAAACTCGAGCGGTTACGATTACGGTGACTGACTTGCAAAAAAGAAAAGCAGGGCGGGGCTTAGTCCCGCTTCTCGTTCCCTGATTGGTTCTTTGGCGTCCTTGTTGGCCCATTCCGCAATCTGATTGGCTGCAGAGTGACAATGAGATGCCTGCAGACAGTTTTTGTATGGACAATGTGGCAGGACCTTCATATACAAGGAAGAAACCAGCCTCAGATGGTGACTGCGTTATGTATAATCTATTAGCAGTGTGACCACGGCTCCTTAAGGCTTATTTGATGCATTAAGCTCAACTGGTTATGATTAGTTGGCTATCTTGTGGAAAGCTAAGAGCACGCCTTGGAGTGCACGGACAAAAAACAAAACAAAAGCAACTTGTATACGTGGCATCCCATGTCGCTCGTTCCGCATCACGGGGTAGTGAATGGTCAACTGCTGATTCACTTTGTTCTTATCTCTGTTGCTTTGAGAGAAACGCGTCTGAATGCCTTCACGTCGTACCATTGCCTCCTACCCAGCTAGCGTCAAAAGCGAAACAACGCCTCCGTGTGTAACTACGTACGCCCACCCCCGCGCCTCGGTATGAGTCACGTGTGAATTCTACCCCTCTCGGCCGGGTCTTCGTTTAAAGATTTATTCCGCGTGTCTCCTTGCTGAGCGATGTTCCTGTTCGGTGGGTCTCAATCTTCTTCGGCGAGGGATCGCCCGTAGTAATCCGTTCTCTGGCACACCTTGACCCTTCGAGGAGCGCGTCAACGTCAGTCGTACAACGCCGCTTAATTTGCCCATCTGCTATGTTGCCTGGAACATATACTATATCCCCACTCGGTCCCTTTGCCGCGTCCCGTTTTATTCTGTACGCTCTATATTCGCGTGGTGACGTCACAGGTGTGGAACGCTGCGGATCATCGCGCCCCTGGCGGTGGTATACGGCAGCAGAGCCGGAAGCGGCAGACGCCTGTTTATGACACCTCGCTCTGCAACCGAGCAGACGACAGAAGTTTCGGCAGGCAAAGGGGTTGTGACATCGCGACGCCGACGCCCTTTCGTCTGCCGTGTCGTCGCTTCTATGCACTGATCTCTATGACAATTGCTGGATCGCGTTTGCCCGCTCCGCGAATGCGGTCACTGGCGGCCATCTTTAGGTAGAGTTATATCACCTCTAGCCAATGTAAGCTGCTGCAGCCGCTATCATCCATCCATGGCAGATAGCGTTTTGGCAGGTGGGTTGGCAGGCTGCGGTCAAAATAGCGTGGGTGATATTGCGTGCTTGATTAAAATTATTTGACGAAACATGTTTTTGAAACCCGGCGTGAACAGTAGTCCGGTTTTTGAGGACCTGGTAAAAGTTTCACAAAATCGCAGCACCGGGAGAAAAGCAGCACAGCACGTATCGAAAGTCGCATCGAAAGCAGACGACGGTACGGAGTCTGCTTTTGATGCGAGCTGCGCTGCTTTCCCCCGGTGCTCCGCTTTCGTAGAACTTTTGCCGGGTCCTCAAAGATGAGGCTACCGTTCACGCCGGGTTTCAAGAGTCTGCTTCGTCGAACAACTTCAATCAAGCACGAAATGTCACCCACGGTACAGTGTACTAGATCTATGGCTATTTTTATGGCAGCCTGCCGCCATTGCGCTGTCCGCCATATTACTATGATGGCTAGAGATGATATAACTCTACCTAAAGATGGCCGCCAGTGACCGCATTCCGGTCCATAGGAGGAGCTGGTCAAACGCGATCCAGCAAATAGACATAGAGATCAGTGATTCTATGCGAAGCGCCAAGTTCGTCTGCTCCTTGCGCGGGGGTTGCGGTGACGTCACAACGCCGCGCTCTGATTGGCTCCGATGGAATGGATAGTGGGTAGACCTCAGTGCTAGCCGCCTCGAGGTAACGGGCATTGCGCGCAGAAAATTACGGAGAAATGGATTCATAGGGGCTGCGCAACCAGAAATCAGGGTCTTCTTCCAACGCTACATTGTTGTCTGCGCGTCCAACAAAGCCGGGTTGTTTGGCAATCTCGCGTACAAATCGCCCGTTACCTCCGACTGTCCAAACAAAGCCGGGAAACGCCCGAGTTATCACGCCCTGTTTTCCTCTCGACGCCGGCGATGCCCTTTTGTACACCGAGTACTTCAGCCCGACGGTCGAAAAGGTTTACGAAGAAAGAAAGAAAGAGCGACGCAGACGTAATCGACGCCGAGGAAAATCCGACAACAAAACATCATTCCTCTGGAATCTAGGCCAAGGCGGGGTGGACGCCGCGTGGACGCGTGGACAAAGAAAGCATAATATAACAGGAAGGGCTGAATAACAATAGTAACGCTGACGTGGACCAATTGTCGACCGTGAAGATGTTGCGGCGGTTTTCGGGCTCGGCTGGTCGACATGTTGTGTCTGTATGGGTAATTTTCACCCTTACTATCGACGCGTAAAGCGTGGAATTTCGGACAAAAGTGAACGAGAGGTCAGAGACTTTGGGCAGGACATTGTGACTGCTAGAGAACTTACGATTGCATGCTGAAATATTCTAAGTCGCGTGCATGGATTAAGCCTCGGTCCTTCGCTGTAGCGTGCCGGACATATAGATGTCTGGTTGGTTCAAGAAGGTTGTTTTGATTTGTTCGTTTTTCGTGCGACCAGATGCTACGTGCTTTTGTTGACCGCTACGTTCTGATTCTATTTCGTTGTAAACTCACCGTTTGCGATGACACACCATTCTTGTACTTTTTTACCTTACCCTAGATAACTTGGGAACTTTTCCTGGATTACTCCGGAAAGAGCCGAAATGGTCAGGGAGCTTTGAAATGCAGTTACGGTGTACAGATCTGGACATGATTTCGTTTCAGCACTGAACACGAAAGCAAGCATCTTCACGATTGCGAAATCAAAGGACTGGGAAGACTTAGAAACTGAACCAATCATACCAGTTTGATACCTTCTTGTGTTTTGTACCTTTTTACTGCTTTTTTTTTTTAAATCTAGTTTTCACATTGTACACACCTGGAAGTTCGCCATATTGCCCGCGTCTTCGGTGTCATGTTTATTTTTACTTATTTGTTACTTGCTTGATGTACGATCAACTAAGATGCGTCTTTGTTACGGCGAAACCGATTTGTTTCCGGAGTTTGCTAACGTTCCCCTCAAGGTCGACGTCTCTCGTAGTGTAGCTCTTTTCCTCTGGGTGTCGTCGATCTCGCCCTGTATACCTCGATGCCAGAAACTGTTTGCTATTCTATATGAAAGCATTTCTGCCTTTAATAACACTTCGTCGCACGCCCATGACCAAAGCCCGGCACAAGGCAACGAGACCGTGCTGGACGTGGAGCGCGTCATCGACTATCGGCAGATTATTTACGATGGCATGCGAACAGGCGCGGACAGAGCATGGGGCATCGTTATCGGAATCCGTAAACGATGTACCAAGTCCCCCCACGTGATCGTGCTTGTAGCGTCGGATTCGCTGGCATTTACAATGAAGCACAGTATGGTTTAGGACGGTTAGCTGTCCCATTCAAGCAGGAGGGCTCACCTGTGGTTCCTGCTAGCGTGACGGCCATGTTGGGATCGTCCGAGGTGGTGACACGGACCTTGTCGAGACGGATTCAAGGGAGCGTCTCTGCGAATGGATAAAGCAGAAGCAGGACGCCGTGCCGTTAGTTTGCGCTCGGGCTTCTGTTGAGGTGTTACTCTTAGCGAAGTGTTTCGCTGTAACGAATATTACGTCATTAAATTTTATAATTTATTTCACATGCCCCAAGGCAGAATATTAAAGAGTGCGAAAGGGATGTGAAATAATTAAAATTTTCGAGCAGGAACACATAAAAAAGAATACAAGCTCACAAAAATACACGGTCTGGTATGCAATCAACAGTGATATTAAGAATAGAAAACGAGGTGATGAGCATTATACTATCCCTGTGACAGCGAGTTAGGCAATTACGTCCCGTACAGCTCATTGATGCAATGTGTAATTGGCTTTTCTGGCAAAGGGGAGAAGAAAGTCATTTTCAGCCATTTGATGTGCGTGTGGTGAAGAAAACGAAAATGCATTAGTGTTACACTTAGTGACGCCTACCTTATGAAAGCGATCCAAGCGCGAGGGTAGGTACACATCATATGCCAGATGAAACACAATGTGTAGCACCACTTATCAAGTCCTTGGACTATAGTGCGAAATGATTTGATCCATGCAACTGAGAATTACAATATTAAATTTGCTCTATGAATGCGGCGTGAAATCAATCTGCCCTGAAATGGCGGGGTGATCTTGTCGAACGTTTACGTTTAGTTATGCATCACTTCGACTCTTCTTTGTGTGCCCTGATGTAAGCTCAACTACCTATATTTTCGGAATCACTTGCCCCTTACCCTTTTTGATATGTTATTTAGTGTCACGAAATTCAGAATAGTTATTGTGAAATCGGCTTGTGGAAATGATGCCAAAACCAACATTCAAATATACCCGCCCTTTTCATTGTCGTGACGTCATTGGAAGGCAGGCTTGCAGGTCGAGCGGGTAGTCATAAAATGAACTGTGCCGAGCATTTGTTTCGAGCCGCTGCGCGGGTGCTGGGGCGAGCTTCCGAAACGATCATTTGACACCGTGAAACTGCTTGTAATCGGTTTGGGAGCGAAATCTAGTTCAATAGAGGGAACCCCTGCCTTGCGCTGACGTCACTTTTTCAGTGTTGCCAGTAGAGACTTTCAGTTTGAAATGCACGATGAGGATCAAGATTGTAAACTCAATAACTTCGCAAAAGAAGATATATTGGTTCAATATTTCGGTTACTAACTCAGCAATGTATGTTGGTGTGTTTAGCAAATTTTCAGGCCAGTCGGGGACTACGAAGATAACTCCGGAATACCCCTTTAAAAAGGGACACTGACAGAGTATTTATACTCGCCAAGGTTTTTATTTGTACATGACATATGAGTGCCCAACTACCCAGAACACAATTTGCGGCTCGAAATTCGTTTTCTTTTCAGCCCGAAAACGGCTTGTCGACGATTGTCCGGTTTCAGTCGCGCTCACTCTTTTCCATGGTCGCGTGGCGTTCAGCTTATGCGCACCAAATATATTCAAAGTCGTGGGTCATGCTAAGGCGTACAGTCAATATTAAAAGCAGAAAAAGAATGGGAATTACTGTCCATGTGCAGAGCGCGTTCCACTGCCCACTAAACAAAGATGGCCGCGCGCAGAAGGCGATTGTGGCCTATGCGGACCGCAAGTTCGTCTGCTTCCCGCGTAGGGGCCCCTTGACATCAGAACGCCGAGTTCTGATTGGAAGGATAGTGGGCTGTCTTGAAGTCTACCCACTATCCTTCCAATCGAGCCAATCAGGGCTGGACCTTCTGACGTCGCCAGAACCCATGTAAAAGAAGCAGGCGTACTTGAGCTCCGCGTAGGGCTGCAGTTCAGTTTAACCACTTGAAGAGTAGTTAGTAACCACTTCCGGGCACGTCGAGAGAACGCATTCACCGAATTCTTTTCATACGCGACCTGCCATCGCCAAAGCAATTGCCACTTGGGCGCCTTGATGACCATGTCACTGTGGTCACGCATTCACCCCGAGCGCTCTCTATACGGTCAGGAGGTTGCGCCATCGTTACCAGACGACGACGATGATGATGATGATAGCGCGATAAGGGCGACATTTGGTGCCCCGCGGTTCCTCATACGACCCGTTGTAGCGTAACACTGCGGCAGCTGAAAGGGTCCGAAGGCGCTATTGAAGCGGGGCCGCCTGCGCGGGTAAGGGAACCGATGGAGAGATAAGCTTGTTGTCCGTCATGAATAAGTGGCGGCGCGTGCGATCTAGTTCGGCTGGCGGTGGTGTTGGCCGTAACTCGAGAGATCGACTCCCTCGATGCCTCGTGAGATTAGCCCGGCCATAAAGCGCGCTTGGATGGCCCCGCGTGGCGCCGCTCGTTGCACTCGGGGCGCTGATATTGTGCACGCACGGCATCTTCACGGTGCCATGCGTGAAGACGACCTAAACCTCCGCTATCGAAATAATAATAAAAATCATTTATTCAACTTCTATCTTACAAAAATACGAAGAAACAATATGACATATGCGTACATCTGTCAATGGAGAACCCACGGGTGGATTTGATAATTGTCCATGGTTGTCTATCATACTACTTTGCCTGTCAGATAGCGCATTAGTGTTTTTTTCTTCTTCCGCTTCTCTTTACTTTTCCAGTTAGCGATATTTTAGGAAGTGGAGGTGACACATAGCAGCCGGCAACATTTGTGGTGTATTTAGTGTGCATAATACGGGTACAAGGCACGGGTGTATGTCTTGCATAACTTCAAATTGTAGTCCACTAATGAATCGGTGCTTTTCTTTTTTTTTTGTATGGGGCTTTTGTATGTTGGGATATGGGGCGTATGGGTGCATATTGTTTTTTCTTTTCTTTTTTTAATAGTGGCTTATTGAGGCGCTTCGACTGTCCTCCCTCGGATGCAGCACGATGCTGCGTGGCGAGTGTGCTGGGAAATACAACCAAAACAGGAGCAACAATGCAACGTATTGTGAGGCAGTGACGTTCGCGCGCTCGACGCTAGCATCATCGCCTTTCTTCCTGTCGAGGTTAGCGTAGAAATAATAAAAACACGAACAAATGATATAGGACTGCGACAAAGGCATACGTGAGCCACCTGGTCGGTTCAGTTCAGCACTGCACCGCCGAGATTGCCCCGTCTGGGGCGACGTTGCATTCTGTTGTCGGCAGCCGCGGCGGCAAGGACTTCCGGTAGCGTGCATAACTTCCGTTTATTTTTTATTTTATTTTATTAATATTTTTTTTTCTTGCGAACAGATACGTGCGGTAAATAAAAGAAAGAGGTAAGCGAAATGAGTATACTGGCCCTATGGTGCTGGCTTCTGTGCGAAGTGGTTCGCCAGCAAAGAAGCAATAAACGAAGCGGAAATCTATAGAAGAATTTGACCCCGAAGATTGACCTCGTGCTGGTTCGATTTCTTTCGCGGTTAGACCGTTGGCAACGCTGCGCGGCTGCCGCGGCAGATCTCGCTTCTGCATCGTCTGCTGACCCGCGAGGGCTTCTGGCAGGCCAAGATAATCTCAGTTGTTTTCTCTCCTTTGCTATGCTGCTGCGTTTTCTCTTTCAATTCATTCGGGATGATCGGCCAGAGATTAAGGCCCCCGGAACGACGGGGCCGACTTTATAAGTCTATTCGTAATCCTCGTGGAGCATCTACCGATGTGGTTATTTGATGCGGCGGTGTACGGCTCGGCCATGTCGTTTTGCCACGTGGCCCTTGTCTGCGTTCTGGAGCAGAGACCGTGGAATGGTTTTGCCGACTAAGCACTGCCCTCGACGAATACGTCTTCTGATGATTTTGATCCGTTGTGGCTTTCCATATGGGGCCTAATAGTAGACGTTGACTTCTGGAGGAAAAGGAAAGGGAAAGGGGGGGGGGAACTAAAGAGGTCGACCGTTATCATGGAGGCAAACTTGTACAGGTGCGTGCGGCGCGATCGGTAACTACCCTTGAACCGTTACGTGATGGTATTAAATTACACGGCACGGCCCTTGAAGGCTATACACTGCGAGTTATTCTGTCCTGGCGAAAGGTTGGACTGACCTTGCTGGGAAGCGCCGCGGAGAGACCTCAATTCAGCGGCTGTATTTATGGAAAACAGGAGGAAGAGCAGCCGCACGTTTGCGAGAGATGTTATCGGCGGTGGGCTCGTCTTCGGTCGGTGTACGAACGATCTGTCATGTCCGGAGTGATGAGGCTTATGGGCGGGACGTATAAATATGTGTCTGATGAAGTATTGTGTAAGTTTGCGTAGGATGGCACACTTTTTTGGTAGAACTATCTGAGAAAACTTTAGTAGAAGGGCAAACAACGAAGGCCAAAGGAGAAGTATCATAATCTTCTGCGGCCATTTGTATTTGTGCTTAAGCTTTGAAATGATGTGTCCACTAGTCTAACGCACCGTCTTTTTTTTTTTCTGATAATTTACAAAGGTAGATCATGAAGGTCAAACGTGATTCGTGGCCGCAATTAACCAGAAGCAATCCTTTGTTATTGCTGTTTTTTTATATATCTTTTTTTTCTGACACGTTAACTTTAATTGCTTCACCGGTCACACGAGATATCCTACCGCACTCTAAACTCAGATGCTACAGCTCTTTTTTTTTTTTTTTACTTGTTTTCGTTTTTGGCCTAAAGAAAGTAACACTTTTGAGGATATTGCGCGTACAAATCAGGAATAAAAAAGTCCCCGGTTTTGCCCGAAACTTTATTTTGGCCTCACCTGGCAAAACTACGAAAGCTACAGCCGCATTGAGCCAGTAAGAGCTACAGGACGCTCTTGTTGCCCAGTTATCTATCCTTAGCAGGTTGTAAATTTGCAATATTTGCCCAGTTAGGCATAAATAATGCATCTTTGCGCGCGTACCGCACTTTGGTTTTGAAGGTTAACCACTCCATGCTCCGATATATTAAGGTGCGAGTAAAAGCAAATAAGGAGAAAAAAGAAAAAAAAAGGGGGGGGGGGGGGCTTACTACAGCGGCATATTTATATGTAGACTGACCGTTAGCCTTGGATTCACCAACCAAATCTTCTGTCTGGATAAAC